CAGAACAGGGAAAGGCCTAAGGAGCTGCTGATCTGCAATCTCTCTCCTGCAAATTATGGGAAAGTAACCCATTTTTTGGTTTTTATTTTTGTTTCTTATGTAATAGCTCATCTTCAAAAGGATTTAGAACAGATTTCCCTAGAGTGACTAAGCCAGTTTCAAAAACCTGGGAAAAAAAAAATCTGACTGGAAAGACTGTTTCTTCCCTCTGTACCCAACTCAACAGATAAAAATATGGCCGTGCCTTATTCAATACAGGCCATCAAAGTTACCATCTCACCTTGGAAGGAACCCAGTATACAAATTCTGGTTTGTTTTCCAATTATCCTAAGCAAAATCTTAAAAAAAAAAAAAAGTAAAGGATTGTGGATGGGGGTTTTTTTTATAATTTTTATTTTGTTTTGTTGGGTTGGGGTGTTTTTATAATAGAAAAGAGGAAACAGAACTGCAGAGGGGGTTCCTATTCTGCTGCCCTCAAAGAAAAGGAAGCAGCACAAGCATGAATCTCCTGCCTGGAAGAATGAATCAGCCATCTGGCAGCTTGAATGTATTCTGATCTTCTCTAGTGGTGAACCTCTGGCCATTAATTCAGACATGGAATTGGTATCTGACCTCTCCTTGCTGAATTTCCTAACTGTGTGACTGATCACGAAGCTCTCTTTGGATCAAGCGTAGTTAAAGTGCCTGTTGTAAAGTCTTTGTTAAATCCTCTCTGAATTGGGCTCAATATCAGAAATGGTGGCCTTTGAAGCTCTAAAGAGTAACTTCTATGAAAAAGTTGACATAGTCCTGTAGAGTGCTTTCTCCCAGTTTTTCACAGAACTTCTTTTCTATCAGATATAAATCCTTTCTAGGCAGGTCAGAATTTTAAATATCTCTATTTCCTTATCATGCTTTGATAGCACTTATTTTTCTTTTACATTTCTCATTGTATTGGAAAGGATGCTAGAGTGCTAAAACTATACAGAAACTTCAGGATGTTCTTTGTTTTTTTTGCAAAGTCTGAACAGATGGTAGAAGCCCATTCTGGAATTGTTAGCTTAGAAAAAAGTGGTGTGCTCACAGAGGAACTGTTTTTCATCTCCCCTTCCCTGTTGTACCAACTGTAAGGCTCAGTCCCAGAAGCATGATCAGTTCTTGGGGAAACTGCAGCAGTCAGGCTCTTCAGAGACTCAGTTTGGTCCTCCATCAGAGAGCCATTTTGGTGCCCCTTAAGGTGGAGAATCCTCCCAGGGCACAGCTGACTCAAGAAACTGCTGTCTTCTGATCAGTGGAGCAGAACAGAAACATTCCTGCCTCACAAGACTGCAGGACACCTTCAGTTGTGCTGACTGAATTGCTCCTGTACTCTGAACAGAGTCTGAGAAATGATCCAGTTTAGAGGGGGGAAGTTAAACCAGTCCCTTAGAAAACAACTGCCCCTCCTCCCTCCTCTGATGAGGCAACAGTTTGGCTAAGACAGCAGCCGGGCAAACAGCTGAATGAAACAACTGGAGGGAGGAAATGAACCAGAGAGTGCAAAATCCTCTTAGGCAGGCTCTGTGAGCAGAGGGCTGTAATATGCCCCTGCACCTGGAGTCTGGTCTCCAGAGTGTTTCCATTTGTGTCACAAGTTTAAAAATGCAAATTCTGTTCTGCGAGTCAGGACACCCAGAAGTGTTATAGATCTGGGCTTCCAAGGCCCGAGTCAGCTTTGGAAATGGGCTGAACTCTCTGCCATGGTACTGTCAGCACTTGCACGCTAATTCCTTCAAAAACACACCTTAAAAACTATGTCGGGTTTTCTTCTGTTAAGCACATTTGCCTGGAAACTCTCAGCTGTGAGCTCAAGTGTGAGGTACAGTGATTTTGGAACAGACCAAATATCTGATGCACATGCTGTGCATGGATTTCATGCACAGCTGACTGGAGCTGCCTCGCTGTTGTGCTCCTGCCAGTGCCTGCAGTCAACTGCTCTAGTCTTGCAAAGTTTTGGATTGAAGTTGTAATATGAGTTGGCCCTCTTGTATCTGAGGCAGGAGACTCATTACTGGAATTCTGTGTGCAGGCAAAATGTTGTAGTTTATTTTCATGGAAAAGTTGTCTATCTGGCAGCTGTCAGAAGTTGCCTTTGTAGGAGGAAGGCACAAATGGATACAGTTGCTTTCCATCTATTTCTAAGTGTCATTTTATAACTGTATATGTCATGTTTAAAGCTTACTTGAGGTTTGATGTGTTTGGTGGCTTTTTTTTTAATTCACAATTCTTCTATACTTTCCAGACGGACATTATCAGATACACATTAAAGATCATCATAAGCACCTGCAGCTGTAACTGAAACCAAGAACATAATTGTATGACTAGGCATTCAGGATACTATTTTAAAGTGTTCCCTATACGGGAACCTTTCTGCTTCTTTTTTTTTTCTTTTTTTAAATTTTTTCCCCCCACAACCTTGACAGGAGGGACAAAAACATTCTGAAAAGCTATATAATATAATACATTTTTGTAGGCTTATCTCAAGTACCAACTGACACATAGTATCTAAATTCATAGGTGACATCAACTTATATCATTCTGGGTTTTTTTTAAATTTTAAACACTCCTTATCTGATCACTGTTGCCACTGTAAGCGTTATTTGCTCTGCGGATGCCTCATCTTAGTTTTGGAAAGACTGGAACCGGTGGATACTCTTCTCTGAGTATCCTGCCTTTGTTAGGCAGGTGAGCAGAGTAACTCGGCTCAGTGCGTGCTTAGTTATGCTAACGCACTCCCCAAAATTAAAAGCAGATAAACACAAGAGGGTGATTAGAGGCTAATTACCAGGACAAAACTATTATTGTGCTGACTGATCTAAATATAAGCTTACGTGCAACTATTCAGCATGAGTAATGTGCTTAGCATTACACAATACAATGAAAAAAACGTGTGTCACAAACTGCATATCTGGTTACTTTAAGAATTCTGTGCTGCTTATATGGACTGTTTCAGGTTCCTATGAATCTTCATGCAGGGAAAAGAAGGAATCGCAGCCAGAGCCCAGGAGCAAATGCTCATTTAAAAACCGGGAACACGCTTGGTGACGGGCAAAGAAAGAACACGTTTCAGGAGACACACAGGCTGCTCCCGGAGGCGGCAGACACCGCTGTGTGTCCTGCAGCTCCCGAGATAAGGACCCTGATCCCTGTGGGCAACCCCGCGTTTATCTCCCGAGCCACGGGCTCCATCGCACACGACCGTGCTTCCCGGGGGGAAGGCGCGGGGCCGGCGCAGCGCGGGCCGCTGTGCTCGGCCGGGAGCGAGGGGCCGCTGGATCCCTTTGGAGCGGCCCAACTTCGCCTCGGCCCCACAGTCATTTCCAATCACTCCACTGCAGCGAGCGCCGCGGGCCTGCGTGCGGCCGGGCGCGTCCCGCCGGCTCCCCCCGCGTCCCAGCGCTCGCTCCTTTTTAGGCCGTGCGGTGTTTGGGTCCCGATCCCAATCCAATCCAATGCAATCCCACCCCGATCCCGGTCCCGCTGGCGATCCCGCCCCGGAGCGGCCGCGGCTCCCGCCCCGCGCGCGGCCCCGCGCATGCGCCGCACCTTGTTTACCCGGCTCTGCGCGGTGGCGCCGCGCGCGGCCGGCAGGTGTCGCCCCAGGCCCAGGAGAGCGGGCCACGGCGCGCGGCCGCCAGGTGGCGCCTGCGCCCTCCATTCGCCCGCGAGCCGCCGAGCAGCGAACACCCCAAACAATCCCCAGCGCCGCCGCCAAATTAAATAACCCCAACCCGCCCGCGCCCCGCGGCCCCTCCGCGCCCACAGCCCGCCACTGGCCGGCACGGGCGCGCAGCCGGGCGAGCCGCGCCGGGCACACGGGAGCGGAGCCGCGAGCCGGGGCCTTCCTCGCTGCCTACGCCGACACTGGGCAAGGTAAGTTAGAAAATGGCGGCGAAGCTTCTGGAAGTTTGGCGGGGGCACTCGGGATCGCGGTGCGCGGCGGCGGGGAGAGGCCGGGCCGGGCCCCGCGGCGCCCGGGCCCGTGCGGGGCGCCAGGCCGGCTGGCCGCGGGGACTGCGCGCAGCCAAGATGGAGGACGGCGGGGCCGAGCCGCGAAAACACTCCAGCCCCTCGCTTCCCCACCCCCCGTTCCCGGCGCGCCGCGGCGGGGAGGGGGGAGGCGAGCGGAGCGCGGCCGAGAGAGCGAGAGGGCGCCGAAAGCGGCCCCCCCTGCCCGCCCGGGGCCCCCTTCCTGCTCCCCAGAGCCGGCCGCGGGCAGGCCGGGCCCGGCGCTCGGCGAGCTAAAATGGAGAACCGCCTTCTCCTCCTCCTCCTCCCCCTTCTGCCGAGCCGAGCAGGGGCTGCCGGCAAGATGGAGGACTCGGGCATTGTGTGCGTGGGGTGTGTGTGTGGGAGAGCCGAGCCGGGCCGGGCCGACCGGGGGGGGGGGGGCAGCGAGGGGACGGGGGTCGGGGCGGCCGCGCTCGGCGGAGAGCGCTGGGCCGCGCTCAGAAAATGGTGGGGCGGCTGCCGCTGCCCCGGGGGCGAGTGCCGGGGGAGGCCGCCGAGAGGGGGCTCGCACCCCTGACAGCGCTCGCCCGGCTCCCTTCGCCCGGCTCCCCGCTGCCCAGCACTCGAGTTCTTCCTGCCAGCCCGCTCCCGCCGGCTTCCCCGCGTAGGGAAGTGCCGAGGGATGGGGGTTTCTCTCTTCCATCTCTCTCCCCCGAGCGGGGGCAACTCCGGCCGCCCTTCCCCGTGCCTGGGCTGGCGGGACCGGGGCTCCCTCGGCCCGAGTGAGGACATGGGGACTGACCTGCCTTCCCCCCCCCGCCTCCCTTCGCTGCCCCCCCCCCTCCCGCCCCGGCTCCCAGCTCCCAGCTCGGGGAAGGCCTTTGTGGGGCGAGTTTTCCCCTCCGAGTGACTTTGGCCGAGCTCCTCGGCGGCTGCCCGCGAAGAGGAAGAGTTGTGGCAGTTTCCGTTCGGCTTCCTTTATTTTTTTTTTTTTTTTTTTGTAAAGAAAGGGTGCTTGCCAACTTGTGCCGGGGACGCCCGATGCCGGGAGCCGCGTGTTGCTGGAACCCCGCTGGGCTCTCGCCGGCCCCGGAGGGGGAGGGGGGAGGAGGAGGAGGAGGAAGGAGAGAATGCTTCTTACTGGGGGGTTTTGGCGCCACTTTTGTTTTAGATAGTGTTCCTCTGCCCCCTCCTCCTCGGCACGCACTGAACTGAGCTGAACCCTGCCCAGGTAGGAGGCGAGAGCTTTCCTGGTGTTTTTCTTTTCTGGGCGCTTATTTTTTCTACATTGATTAAAAATAGATATATAGTTGTTTCTGCGGCTAGGGACGGAGGGACAGGGGAGCGAGCGGCCGCAGATGCCTGGGCTGGGAGGCCTTGTTTTTCGGGAATTCCTCTCCCTGCCCCGGCGCATCCCTGGCGCTGGGCGTGCTGGCTTTGGGGGCCCGCACCGCTCTGCCTCCATGCCTTCCTCTGTCCTGGTAGCGTTGTATAATCCGTCCGTCCCGTGGAAATCCGGGACCCACCGACCTCATTTTTTATTATTTTTTTATTCCTCCCCCGGAGAGCGGGCGCGGAGGCGCTCGGGCCCCTCTTTCGCTCCTTTTATTTATTTATTGTACTGCCCCGGCTCGGCTCTCGCTGCTGTTATCCTCCCACAGGATGCGGCGTTCGGAGCTAATACAAAGTTTTCCTCTCCGGCGAGTCCGGTGCTCTGCTTACTGGGCTGCTGGTGGTTTTTTTTGGTTGGGTTTTGGTTTTGTTTTGTTGTTGGTTTTTGT